TTACACCACCGGTAGCCGGTGCTGACTTGCTAGCACCTTGATAGCCAGCTGCTTTCGTGGGGCCTTACCATCAGTAGATTTACGAGCTGTTTGCTTGGTACGAACCATTGATGCTGAGCGTTTGGAGCGGACTGTAAGCGCTATTGAGATCCTGATCGATTTCACAGACCGGGCGCGGAGACGGCAATTTGCGGATGAGCAGCTCGGTCGACTTCTGATAACGACCGATCTCACGAAAAGCGACTTTACCTAGACGGTAATCGATGAAACTTCTTTTACACCACCGGTAGCCGCTGCTGACTTGCTAGCGGCCTTGATAGCGGCTGCTTTCTTGGGGCCTTGCCACCAGTAGGTTTACGAGCGGTTTGCTTGGTACGAACCATTGATGCTGAGCGTTTGGCGCGGACTGTAAGCGCTATTGAGATCCTGATCGATTTCACAGACCGTCGATCAGGATTTCAATAGCGCTTACAGTCCGCGCCAAACGCTCAGCATCAATGGTTCGTACCAAGCAAACAGCTCGTAAATCTACTGATGGTAAGGCCCCACGAAAGCAGCTGGCTATCAAGGTGCTAGCAAGTCAGCACGGTTACCGGTGGTGTAAAGAAGTTCATCGTTACCGTCCAGGTAAAGTCGCTCTTCGTGAAGATCCGTCGTTATCAGAAGTCGACCGAGCTGCTCATCCGCAAATTGCCGTCTCAGCGCCCGGTCCGTGAAATCGATCAGGATTTCAATAGCGCTTACAGTCCGCGCCAAACGCTCAGCATCAATGGTTCGTACCAAGCAAACCGCTCGTAAATCTACTGGTGGCAAGGCCCCACGAAAGCAGCGGCTATCAAGGCCGCTAGCAAGTCAGCACCGGCTACCGGTGGTGTAAAGAAGTTTCATCGTTACCGTCCAGGTAAAGTCGCTCTTCGTGAGATCCGGTCGTTATCAGAAGTCGACCGAGCTGCTCATTCGCAAATTACCGTTCCAGCTCCCGATCCGTGAAGTCGCTCAGGATTTCAATAGCGCTTACCGTTCGCTCCAAACACTCAGCATCAATGGTTCGTACCAAGCAAACCGCTCGTAAATCTACTGGTGGCAAGGCCCCACGAAAGCAGCTGGCTATCAAGGCTGTTAGCAAATCAGCACGGCTACCGGCGCCATCGCAAACTTCTTCGCGACAATATTCAAGGCATCATCAAGCCCGCCATCCGTCGGGTCGTCTTACTCGCCGAGGTGGTGTGAAGCTCAAGTCTGATCTAGCTCAGTTGCTAGGTTGTTCAGAGCACTGAATCACTAGGCGCATCGGCGAGGCCAGACAGTTCTGCAGTGCTGCGCTACACATCAATTTGGAAAGGATTGTTGCCCCTCAATTTTTCCGAGTTCTGTTTATGGTTAGGTTAGCCCTTTTATCCGCCTGAGCTGATCCCATGTTCAGGTTAGCCCTTTTATCCTCCTGGGCGGGTGATCCCTTAGTTATGAGCTAGATACGTAGCGCGCCTGGCTCCCTAGGAAGGCTTTCCTTTGAGTGACGTTTCGTGGATCTACACAGACGTTGCAGTGCAAGCCGGCCGATTAGCGTCCAGGACAAGGCGGGATTGGCTGTTTCAGGGGTTAGGAGACCTATACAATAATCAGGAACGCATGAAAAACGTGCTGAAAAAGGTGGTGCGCAATACAATCAAACCTGAGAAATGGACTTTGACAGCCTAGCAATTCCTCTATGATACGCCATGTATAGGACAGAATTCGAAATACAAGAGGAAGGAGTAGCATTGAGAAGAAAATAAGTGAACTCGTCACGGATCGCAGCCTGTGCGCTTCGGTAATGATCTGTTGGGCAGAATGGTGCAATCTGTTGTAATAACCTGCCGCCTGCCAGGAGGGCATACTCAAATAGCTGTGGCACTTGCGCCATTTAAGCTATGCTCTCTTCTAGGCCAAAAAAATTTTGGTTTACGTTCATGAAAGCCCCCCCCCCATTTGCCCTTTTTTGCAGGGAAAGTGAAAGTGGCATTACGAAGTTGGAAAAGAAGTGGTGACGAAAGTGGCGCCAACTGACGCCAGCTAAGGTCAAGCAGTTTGTATAGCTCCTGCTGCTCATTTTTTGAGGGGGAAGAAAGCAATAGCGAGGTGAAGGGTACTACGCTATCGAACGTAAAAAAGACCAATATATTGGAAAACATAAGCCTCAGTATTTGTGATGCTATTGGCCTTTGCAAGGAAGTGTGGAAGAACGTAGTGATATGGTGACCTTTCCACCAGCAATCACCATATTATACATACACTTTGTTGACCGTCAGACGGCTAGAATGCAGCATCCCTCCTGCCAAGACAGCAACGCTCTAAGAAAGGTAAGTGCAGCGTCAGCACAGCCCTTACTGCCTGCAACTATTTCGACCCAGCGCCAGTATTGATCCTTTCAGCGACGATGAGAAGAAGGATACTGTAATGTGGTACCGCTAACCGTATTTAATCGCGTACATGTTCGCTGCAAACTCGTATCCGAGGGTTATCCAGGGTCGTGATCACGAATATAATATTGGTTTCTGTCACTGGCGCCATTTGGCGCCAATAGGCGCCATTTTGGCGCCATCACTTTTTTCAAAAACTGCTCTGCAAACTGGTATCCGAGGGTTATCCAGGGTCATGATCACGAATATAATATTGGTTTCTGTCACTGGCGCCATTTGGCGCCAATAGGCGCCATTTCGGCGCCAACACTTTTTTCAACAACTTCTCTGCAATTTTCTATTCGGGGGTTATCGAGGATCTTAATCACGAATAGGTGGTGGCTTGTGACGCTGGCGCCATCTGGCTCTAATAGGCACCATTTTGGCGCCACCGCTTTCTGGCGCCTAGAGGCAAAAACCATCATCATATTTGTGATCACGACCCTCGATAAGCCCCCCGATACGGGTTTGCAGAGAAGTTTTTGAAAAAAAATTGATGGCGCCAAATGGCGCCAGTGACAGAAACCAATATTATATTCGTGATCACGACCCTCGATAACCCCCGGATACAGTTTGCAGAGCAGTTTTTGAAAAAAGTGATGGCGCCAAAATGGCGCCTATTGGCGCCAAATGGCGCCAGTGACAGAAACCAATATTATATTCGTGATCACGACCCTCGATAACCCCCGGGTGCAAGTTTGCAGAGCAGTTTTTGAAAAAAAGTGATGGCGCCAAAATGGCGCCTATTGGCGCCAAATGGCGCCAGTGACAGAAACCAATATTATATTCGTGATCATGACCCTCGATAACCCCC